TTTTCAAACAAATTAAAGTTTATTAATTTGATTAAAGGATAGGAATAACAGAAACAATGACAATCACAAAAGTACCTTGGTGTCACACCTAGTTACCTCAGAATCTTGCTTGTGCTCTCTGGTATAGATCAGAAGGCAACGCAGTAGACTTATCATTTCAAACCTCATCAATATACTCAACAGCAATGAATGACTAAAATTTGAAGTTAAGGTTATCATGTTCAATGATGAGAAGCTTATGTCTAATACATTGTTCATGAAAGAGAATGATTAAGCATGAGAAATTATCCCTGAGAACAGCAGAACTTGGCATATGCAACCGTCAAAAGGAAGCCGCATAAATTCTTTTGATTGAGTTCATATCCTATATGTTGCTGGAACAACTGAACAAGTATACTTTCGGTGATAATAATAGTGAACACAGGTCAATGGTAAGTGGAAAAATAGTACTCGCACAAGCTGGCAACATCCAAGATGTACAGAAATAGTTTCATACACAACTATCACCAAGTGACTCTAGTATGTAATAATGCAGAAAAGAACCAACAATCACATGAAAGATCCATCAGAAGTTTCTCAAAACCTACACATTCCTATGAAAGCATGAAGTTTGGCACATCAAAGTGCCTTTTATTACAGAAAGATTATCTTATTGAAAGCTTAAGAATGACCAAATGAAGACCAATACTTCACAATGGTCATTTAGTATTCCAACCTACTCAATTCCTATAATCTTTCTTATCTCCACAACGAGCTCATAGACCTTATGCGGATCAGGAAGAGACTTGGCAACGCTCTCTTTCTGCAGGCACCTCTTGACCCAAGCAACAAACTTGGGGCACTCACTCTCTATGTTGAGGTTTCCAAAAGTCTCATAGGCTTTGAACCAAGTGGAGAATGGAACAAGTGCTATATCCACAAAGCCAATATTGTCTCCTCCAAAGTAAGTCTTGTCTCCCAGCTGATCCTCCATCAATTTAAGGGCTTCTATGAACTCCTTCTTGGCAGCTTCTTGTTCTTCTCCTTTTGATGTCCAAACCTTCCTCCCAAGATCATATATCTATTCCACATTTAGAACTAACACTCAATTAGATCATAAAACATAAGAATAATAAAATGGACACAAATAACCAATACACTAATGCCTATCATAATCAAATACAGTTTGTTTGACATAAGAGCCACTTAAAAAGAAAATCAAATACAGCTTGTTTACATAAGAGGCACTTAAAAAGGTTATCGAGTACTTTTTTTCCGCATGTTGCCAAAGTAGGCAGAGGAATGTTTACCGAAAAAAGAAACAGCAAAAGAACAAAACTTTTAAAAGGGAAAGGAAGCTGAACCACTTATTGATTATTATAGGTTGTGGAGATTGGAGAATCTTGGGAAAAAAATAAAGTCATAAGAAAGTAGCTATTTTGTTATCCAAAAATTGGGACCATCTTCCTTACACTATGCATGCATCTACCATACTCTAGAGTACATCTAAAAAAGGGAAAGAAATAATAATAGGCAGCAAAATGGTAATAAATCAACC